GGGGTGATTTCTCGCTTTCTGTCTCTCTATCTCTCTGTCTTTCTGGCGAGTGTACATGCAAAACCCTCTCCAATAAGTAAATAAATAACTAAATAAAAAATAAAAAAGAACAGCAGCTCGTGTCCAGTTTCACCCTGAATGTAGTGATTTAAAGATGTCTTCAACAGAGTGGGTTGTTGAAATCAACAACTTGATGGTGCATGTATGTTATGCCTTGACAGTCCACACACTGCATGTTTACAGAGTCTTTCTGGAATACTCAGAAATTGGTTCAGAATTTCCTCCTTTAGTTACACATTTTCATTAGCTTCTGAAATCAAGTACAGGTTGAATATTCCTTATCCAAAATGCTCAGGACCAGAAGTGTTTTGGATTTTAGATGTTTGTTTTGATTTAGAAATACTTGCATATACATAATTAGATATTTTAGGAATGGGACCCAAGTATAAACATGAAATTAATTTGAATTTTGTGTATATCTCATATACATAGCTAAAGGGTAATTTTATGCACTATGTTGTAGTGTTTTGATTACAACCTGTCACATGAGGTCACGTGTGGAATTTTCTACCCATGGCATTATGTTGGTGTTCAAAAAGTTTGGGATTTTGGATTTCAGATTAGGGATGCTCAACCTGTAATGATTTTCTTCTGTGGATTCATTTCTTGGCTCTCCAGTCCTTCTGCATTTACATGAAATATTAGGGGCTTTAGTTCAATCATTCTATTTTACATCAAGTCTTAATTTTTGGTTTTCTCCTTGAGGACACCGTAGACCAGCTTATGAAAAGACAACTTGTCTACCTGCTCATAGTTTGGCATTAGCTGAAAGACTGCAGTATCTCAAGTTTTTCTATGTGGGGTAGTTCTCAGACTTAAGTGCCAGGGAAAGTAAATATCTAGGATAAGGTTACATTTTATCAGTACTTTTTATGATGGGAAAGTTAGAAATATTGTTTCACTCTGAAGCTTGTGAAACTAGAAGTGAAAGTCATCTATAAGTTTCCCTTCCTGGTGGAGCCATATTCCACATGGTTACGTTGGTGGTTGGAATCTGTAGTTGGAATCCCAGTTTTGGTGGCTTGAAAAAAAAATACTAAGCATGTATGTGTCCAAAATCCCGATAGGATAGAGAAATGAAGGCGAAGGGATTGTGGTATGATTACACTCCATTGGTGAGCGCTTTTTCTCTGTTTCTCTCTAGCATGCCCTTTGGCAATTAAATAGTTTTCCCTTCCTCTTCCCTTTCCTGCTCCCCTTCAGAGTTACCATTTTGAGGTGCTGTTCCTTTGCCAGGCAATTTCTCATGTAAGCTACACAACAACCCTGTAACAGTTGATATGTTTAATCCTCATTTTACAGAAGATCAAGCTGCAGTTTGAAAATAACCTGAAGTTAAGATAGTGAACAGAGAGGTTGCACTGTCATTTAAACATGGCTCTCTTCTTCAAATGTCTGTATAAGATCAATTTTGTGTTCTGTTAGTAAAGGCTGAATACTTGTGTGATATTTTAAAAATTGAGTGACCGCATCAGGTAATTATTAGAGGCAGTGATAGTCTGATCTTTCAGGTAGACTTATTTAACTGTCACATTTGATCAATTTTCAGAGTAGGATAAAATCAGAAGTCAAATTGGTTTATTAAATTTGTTGAAAGGTATATTCCTATAATTTTATGTTTTCTGAATTCATTTTTGGCTATAATGAAAAAGATTTAAATTTCATATATTCATTTAATACTTACGTCAGTTTTTATTGACTTTTTTTTGGTGTGTTTGAAAACACCCTGTAAATTGTTTTGTTATATTTTTTCAAACAATATTAAAAATATTTAATGGCATTTTATAGGTTTGAAGCAGTAGAATATTGTTATTCTAATTTTTTTTTTTTTAATTTCGATCCTAGCATTACTGTAATCCACATAGGTGCTGTTTCATTTCAAAGTGGGGATAGTGGTGAAGGTGATCTGCACTGGAATATTAATATTGTTTTGGATGCTGTATCTGCAGTGCACCTCTCATAATTGTAAATGTAAAGGAGGATTTTTCTTGATTTTAAGCCAGGGAGTGACTGAGGTTTGACTCATGGTTGAGTGGCCTATGCTATTACACAATAATGTGACTGACAGAAACCACTGTTGTGTGGAAATATTAAGAAGCCACTCTAGAGTCATAGCCTTAGCAACATTGACTTTGGCCATGTTTCAAGAGTCTGTTGTACCACATTTAATTCTATTTGGAATTTTTTTTATTTCTGGGAGAAGAATTTGTTTGCCATTGGGCTCTTAGCTTCTTTGTTGCTCTGTATTTTGTTTCTGAGAAGCAAAGGTGTGGCGGAGGAGACTACTTTAAATGATTAGTTTACAAAGTGAGAGTAGAATCTAACTTAGAAAAGTTAGAGTAGGAAATTATATTTGACAGTCTAACAATTGGAATGGAAATATAATGATAATGGAAATAACATGATAATGATTTTATTGTATTTTTAAATCCCCATATGTAATAACTTATTATAGCTGTGGAAAACAGTATGATTAACAAACTCATACTTCATGCTTCATTTCCTGTCTTAGAAAATGGCTCTTTACCTAGTCCATGAGGCAGAAACTGGGGGAGCCATCCTTGAATTTGTTCTTTAATTCCATTTGATCCCTAAGTCCTGTCAGTTTTACTCATTGATTTTTCTGGGATCTGCTCTTTTTCAACATATCGTTTGTCGATATCACATCCCCTTACACATACACCTCCATCTCTCCTATGAATTACCATTTTGGGGTGCTTTACCCTATGTCTGTATCATTGTTCGCCTTGGTAACAGTAAGGCCGGCTGCTTGTTGCATGTCTTTGGTCTCAGTGCTTTATCTATCCACCCAGTTCCAGCCTTCAGAGGGTTGCTTTTCTTTTCCAAATATAAATTTGATCATGGCTTTTTTTTTTCTTTTTTTTTTAGTTTGCTGTAGGGCACATGTGGTTGCTTGGGGGAGAGAGAGAGGGATAAGAGAGAGAGAGAGAGAAAGAGGGAGGGAGGGAGAGAAAGATAGATATCAGGAGGGAAAATGAGAAAGCACTCCCCAGGGAGGATGGCCACACCACAGTCCCTTTTCTGTTCTCTCTGTATTTTGGACACCCATGCATATGTGCCTGGAGTATTTTTCAAGCTTCTAGGTCCAGGACTTAAACTACATAGTTGACTGTGTGGAATCCAGCCACCACGCTACCACCTGGCCCTTGATCATGGCATTTACCTAAACTCGTTCAGTGGTTTTCCATGGTGTTCAGGGGGAAGTCCAAATGCACTGGCATGGTTTAGCACTGTTTTTCAATTTGAGGGTCACTTTCTGTCTATGGGTCATGAAATTACGTTAGTAGGCTATGACCAGCATTATCTATTTTTATTAAAGTAAGTTAGAATGACATCACAGTACATCACATGTAGAAGTAATATCATTTCATGAAACTTTTTCAGTTACTGTTTTTTGTTTGTCTTGGTAATGTTATGAAATTTATGTCTTATATTTGAGCGTGGTCAAAACGTTGGCATTTCTCATCCCATTCTTCAATATGCAGTGATTGTAGTCCTTTCAATCTGCTTGGATTGCCTCTGCCTGCTTTTATACCTTCGCTTGTTGTGCTTCCATGGTCAGAACCTTCACTCTTCATCTAGTTAATGCACAGCTTCAGTCTCTGAGGATCTTTTCCTGAAGGCAATTGACCATAAGAAACACGTTTTGGAGACCAGCAGTTATGGTAATGCTATGTCTCTGGACTCCCACGTAGTCCGCTGTGGTTCGGTTCCTGGACCTGGTGGCTTAAACTCACTCTAGGTGCGTGTGCGTGAGTGCCCAAGATCCCGAGAGGAGAAGGGATTGTGGCGTGGCCATCCCCCCCGGGAGGTGATTTCTTACTTTCTGTCTCTCTCTGTCTTTCCAATGAGGGCACGCACCCTATAGCAAAACCCTCTCCAACAACAACAACAACAACAAAAAGAAAAAAAAGAAACACATTTTGCAAGGCAACTTAGTGGACACATAAACATTCAAATAACTGAAAAAAGCTCCATCAGCCAATACTCTTAATATATGAGATGCATTCTTGCCCCCTTGCCCTCTATTTTAGCTTGTCTTACATGGTATTGATTGTGTCTCTTTGCCAGTTTGTTGAGGATAGGGCTCTTTTTAATCTATACCCTACACCAAACCATAGTAAGTAATTAGTAAATATTGATTGAACTAACAAAATAGTGAATTGGTATATGTTATATAGCAATGTTATAGCAGTACTCTTTTTTTAAGCTTGAACTGTAGAAACTACTTTTATGGCTGACTTAGGTCCAGGACTCAAACTATACAGTTGACTGTGTGAGGTCCAGCCACAGTTGGTTTCATTACAGGAGGTAACTTTCTTCGAACGTTTTAATTTAAGCTCTTTTAACTCATTACTTTCTTTTTCTTTTTCTTTTCTTTTCTTTATTAGTTTTTTTTTTTTTTCTAGTTTGCTATAAGGCAAATGTGCTCTCTAGTGAAAGATAGAGAGAGAGAGGGAGAGAGAGAAAATGAGAAATTACACCCACAGGGGGAATGTCCACACTACAATCCCTTGTCTTTACTTTCTTTTTATCAATTGTGATTAGATCTAGCCTCACATCTTGATAGAGATTACACTGCATTCTGTCACATTAGTGACTTCATATTCTGTTGCTCTATTGTGATTTGTGGTCAAGGAATTTGATGAAACCCAAATACTGAACACCTAATGTCTATTTGATTTTATGGGAGTTGGGTGGTTTCAAAAGAGAGAACTTTCATGTGTAATAGTAATCAAAATAAAATTCATAGGTGGAGGGTTAATGGGATATGAAAGCAGCAAATCAGGTGGAAGTGAATCATCTTATACATGAATTTAAAACTTTTGTAATTGGCATTCTCATAGCTAGAATATTTAGCTGCTTATAGTTTTCATCTTTGTGAGAAATAATTATTTGTTATACCATTAACAGGTTCTCATGAAGAATTATTATTGGGGAGAGATCCATTTGGTGGCATGTTATTTTTTAAAAAAGAATGAATCAAGGGAAAACCTCTAAATGCAAGTATCAGAAAAAGTATAGCACATCTCAGTGAATTTGCAAGTGGTAAGTTTGCTTTTGATTTTACATGGGAATGTTTCTGAATTATATGGGTAATATCCTTGCAGTCTTAATGTTTATATGCACTTAATGTTCTTCAGCAAATGTAGCTACTTTATATTTGTTAAAAAGATTTCATATTAAATTTTTAAACATATTTTCTTATATGACTTTCTATAGAGAAAAATAATCTGTAAATAACTTTGTAAATCTTATGTGATTTGACAGCTGATCCTTCTACACTGCATTTTAGAAAATACCAGTTTTCTTTTTAAATTATTTATTTAATTTTATTTATTCATTCATTTTATTTTTTAATTTGACCAGAAAGACAGAGAGAGAGAGAGAGAGAGAGAGAGAGAGAGAAAAAGCAAGCCACCAGGTCCGAGACTTGAACCGTGGTCGGCCATGTGGGAGTCCAGCACCCTTATCCACCATGCCACCTGCCGGCTCCGAAAATACCAGTTTTGAAAGCCCTTATATACAGATAACATGTAGGATGAAGCAAGGAATATTTAATACTTAAACATTTTGTTTATAAAGTTGTTGGTATCTCCTGGGCTATCTCTGTTGTTCAGTTGATTGGAAAGGTTTAAAAAGATACTATGTTTATTAATAGAAGAACACATAAATACATACATAAAACATGAAAGTCTTCCTTCTCACTACCCTTTTCTGTCTTCCCAGTACTAGCCACTGTTAATAGTTTTGTTGGTATGTGTTTTTTTTTCTTTTTTTTAGAGAGAGATTTTTGTAATTGAGCTCATGTGCTCTCCAGAGAGACAGAAAGCAAGAAATCACCCCTGAGGGGTGACCACAGCGCATTCCTGTCTTCTCCAATCTCCTCTCAGGATTTTGGGCATGCATGCACATGACTCTAGTTTTAAGCTGACAGGTCCAGGACTTGAACTGCAGTATGCTATGTGGAAGTTCAGTGATGTAACCATTACACCATCTGCTGGTGCCAGGTATCTTTTCTTTCAGCCTTTCAGCCTTTTTTATACATAAATAAATATTACTTAGTTTTTTTTTTTTTTTTTTTTTTAATTTGCCAGAGGGTACATATGCTTGCTGGAGAGAGAGGGTAGGGTACATGTGCTTGCTGGAGAGAGATAGAAAAGGGAAGAGAGATTGCATACCCCATAGGCATGACCAGGCTGCTGTGCTCTCTCCTCCTTTCAGGATTTTGGACATGCACACATATGCCCCTGACATGTTCGTGCGGCTCCTAGGTTCAGAACTTGAATCGTGTGGTTGGCCATGTGGGATCCAGCTGCCTTAACAACCAGGCCCACAGGCTGGCCCTATGATACCCACCTACACGCACGCACACACACACACACACACACACACACACACACCCCTTTTGCTGTATTTGCTGTAGGGTACATGCTCTTGCTGGGGAGGGTTGGGGCGGTAAGAAAGCACACCCCAGAGGGGTGGTCATCCCTTCTCCATTCTCTTGGGATTTGGGGCATGCGCACACATGAACCCATTGTGTTTTTAAGACTCTAACCTGTTCAGTTGGCCTTGTGGGATCCAAGTACCTTAACTACCACACTACTGGCTGACCGTGTCCTATGATATTTTTTCTTACAAAAAATGCTATAAGGTATTCTATAACTTAACTACTCTCCTGTAACTTCAATTTTGAAAAATTGCAAACAGAAGCATTGAAAAGATTTTACAGTGTAACATTTGAGCACTCATCCCTAGATTCTGTAACTAATATTTACCGAACTTTATCACATACTCTCTTTATCCATCTATCACTTCACTTAATTGTTTTTTTTTTTTTTGATCCATTTCAAAGTAAATTGCAGATAGCAGTAGACTTCTCCTCTACAAACTTCCATATACATATACCTAACTAGAGTTCAATATCAGCTCACAGTTTTTTTTTTTTAAGGTAAAATTTATGTATTGTGAAATATACCATCTTAAGTATGTATTTGGTGAGTTTCGACAAATTCATACACTTGTATAACTCAAAGTTTGTATCTAGATACAGGTCTTCATTTGGATCCCTTCTTATTAATCTTTTTATATTCTCCTTTCCCTCTAGAAAAAAAAGCTATTCTTAAGATCGCTCTTTAATGTAGATTTTTGCCTACCCAACTGCTTTATTCACTCAGCAATATGTTGTGAGTAGTTAAATACATAGTTATCAATAGATCTGCCTCTTTTTTTCCTTTTATTATTTTTTTTTAAATCACAGTATCTTGGCAATAGTCTGTACTGTGGATGTTTATAATTTATTTAACCATTCTCCTCCTACGTGGACATTTAGGTCATGTCATGTTTCTGTGACTATGAAAAGTGCTATACGTTTGTGTACCCTTATGTGCATATGTTAGGTCATCAGAAAAGTCATGACGTATTTTTCTATGTGTTTCTATACAAAAATGTGTCATGACGTTCTTGACAACAAAATATTTGTGGATATCTTCTGAGTACTTTTGTAGGTATTGCTAAAAGTAAAACTGCTGGGTAAAAAGGCTTCACATTTGATTGATACTGTCAGATTGCCCTTCCGAGGTGATAGTACCTGTTTCCACGCACACCAGTGTCCTTTTCCCATTCCCTCTCAACAGTGGATATCATCTCTCTTTCTAAAAGTTTTTTTATTACAATAAATGAAAACACCTAGTTATTTTACATCTTTTCTAATCAGTAGCGATTTGCTATTGATTATTTTTTTTTTCATTTCTGAATTGACTTTTCATGTGTTTACTTTGTATGCCTATTATCTTTCGTGTGTTGTAATGTTTCTTTCCACGGATGCTTTGTATTTTAACTTTGGTATTTTTGGGGGGACTTAGAATTTGTAATTTTTATGTGCTCAAACATGTCTTATGGTGGTTAGTTATAAAGGCCTTCCTCATTCCAAGATTATAACACTTTCTGCTATTTTCTTTTAATAGTTTTGCTTTTTATTCAAACTTTGTAGAAAAATGGAAATCACTGTGACGTGAGATGCCAGGAAAAATTTCATATGTAGAATGGGATTCAAATTGGCCTTGAAGTTTGAGCTGAATTTAAATAGAGTGAGTAGAATAGTAGGGACATTTCAAACAGGAAGGGAATGAGTTATGGAAATACTTTTCATATTCATGGAACATTTTGTCCAAGGTGGAGAGACACATAAAACTGTTAAGTTTAGAGATAACTATTTGGCTACATTTCTTGTTAATTATTTGGAGTAATCTTAATGATTTTCAAGTATCTGCATTCTGATGTTACAGTTTTCTGCCATTTTTTTTTTTCCACACTAACTTGAGTCATCTTCTTGAGGAAAATCTGTGGTGAAATATGGTTGCCTGGTAAGGCAAAAAAGGAAAGGTGCTATCATTTGTTCTGTCTAGTTTATTAGAGCTGAAATTATAATTTCTTTTAAAAAGTATGGGCTGTAGTAATTTACATCATTAGGAAGTTAGTCACTGTACTCCAGCATAGTTACCAGATACCGTCTTTAAAAATGTTGAAGCACCAGTATAGCCACTAGTTACATCAAAGCTTGAATTATGAGCTCACCATTTAATATTACAAATTAGTATGTTGGCATCTCTCATTAATGAAAGTATTTTACGCATACCGCCCTTAAGACCGAGCCGCAGCATGGTGTTCAGTCCTGTGGTTGCAGAGATGTGTAATAGTTGCTGTTCAGCTATTAGCCACACCTGGTAGACGTTAACTGAGTAGGGTGATCTGAAACTCTACCAGTTACGTGTATATGGTTATAATTGCTTTGGAGCTCTTGGAAGACCACCATTTTCGTTCTCTACAACCCAATTTAAGGATCATGTGGCATTAAGTTGTACAAGTCAGGTATTTAAAAAAAAACCACATCTTATTTGTTCATTACTTTATTTGTCTAACCTATGCTGACTTTTCCTTCGGAATGTTTGTTCTTTTGGATCTTTAATCTGTGTATGTTCATATCAAGGAAAATGGACATATTTTTAATTACCATGATATATAATTTTTTAGGTGGGACCTTTTCTAGTGTTAAGAAAAATGTATTATCCTCTGGTTGAGGAAAATAAAAATAGAGTTAAAAAATGACCAGATATTTGATAATTCTGCCACTTGTTTTGCTGGCTCATATGTTTTTCTAGTAATGTTAATATATTTAGAAATAAGTATTGAAATGATTCTGTCCAAATTATTGTAATTCATAGTCTGTTTTTAGTCGTGAATAGATCTGAAACTTTTAAAAAAAGGTATGTAAAGTTAATATTGAATATGTTCAGAGATAGGGCCTTCTGTCATTTCTTTTAGTGCTTGATGTTTGTCAAGACTAAAAAATTAACATTCTTTTGAAAATTTCTCTTTTTAGCTGTGTAAATAACTTACCATTTGTATTTGAGCTCTTTTCATTTTAACAATAATAATATTTAGCAAATTAAAAGTACATTTTATACTTTTTGACTTTTCTCACTTTAATGAGACTGATATCTTTTAATTTTCTAATTAAGTGGTCAAGAGTTTATCCTTTACTTTTTAAAAAAGCATAGGCACTATTCCTAATTTATTATAAAATTCATGTGCGAGTACCAATTTGGGTTGTATTGCATTTGAATTCTTACCTTTTTTCCATTAATCTAATGTCGAGAGGATCGAAAGGATAGGAGTATTTCTTTAGGATTAGGTAGTCCTTGGTCAGCCAGTGGCATGGTGGTTAAAGTGGTGTGATCCCACATGGCTGACTGCACAGTTTGAGTCCTGGATGACAGCTTGAAAAAATAGGCCAGGCACATGTGCATGTGCTAAAATCCCCAAAAGAAATTGGAGAAGGGGTTGAGGAATTGCCATCCCCCCTCTGGGGCACTTTCTCACTTTTATTTCTCTCTCTCTGTTGAACACATATGACCTTTGGCAAAATTAAAAAGAAAAAATGAAGTATTCCTTAATCTTTTTTCATTCTTTCAGTAGCTTTAGAGCTTTGTAAACCATTTGCATGGCCTGTGAGGGATGTTGTCAGAGGCTTTTCAATTTATGATACATTTTTCTTAGAATGAAGTAGTCTGGGATATAATACAAAACTCTGGGAGTCATCCTTGACTCCTCCTTCTATAACTCTTTAATAGTCAGTAAGATTCACTGGTTTGATTCTGTTTATCAGTATTTCTTTGGTTGTTCTCTTCTCCTAAACCAATTTTGGCTTTTTTTATTCTCTTAGTCTACCTAGTATCTCCATCTTTTTTTTTTTTTTTGAGAGGTTTTCGCTATAGGGCGTGTGTGCTTGGCAGACAGAGAGAGAGACAGATATAGAGACAGAAAGCGAGAAATCGCCCCCCCAGGGAGGATGGTCACACCACAGTCCCTTCTCCTCCATTCTCCTCTCGGGATCTTGGGCACGCATGCACACGCACCTGGTGTGAGTTTTAAGTCACCGGGTCTGGGACGCGAACTGCGGTTGACTACGTGGGAGTCCAGCGACATAGCCATTACGCTAACTGCTGGTTCCCTCCATCTTTAATTTTATCCTGCACACAAGAGCTTCAATAATTTAAGTGTTAATACAAATCTCATCATGGTAGCCTCTGCTTCAGTACTTTCTCAATGCTCAAGAATGAAGTCTTAGCACTCTAATATGGCATTATTATGTTCTTTCTGGTATGGTAGTTCTTCCTATCAGTGGTTTTATTTTCTGTAGTTTTATTTAACTGGTCAACCACAGTTTGAAAGTTATCTTCCATACAAGAAGATATTTTGAAGGGCCAGCCAGTGGCATGGTTGTTAAAGCTGCTGGATTTCACATGGCCAACTGCATGGTTTGAGCCCTGGACCCAGAAGCTTGAAAAATACACAGGGTTGGGGGACCAGCAGTTAGCATAATGGCTATGTCACTGAACTCCCATGTAGTTGACCGCGGTTCACGTCCTGGACCTGGGGGCTTAAAGCTCACGCGCGCGTGTGCGTACGTGCCCAAGATCCCGAGAGGAGAATGGAGGAGAAGGGATTGCGGCGTGACCATCCCCCCTGGGGGGTGATTTCCTGCTTTCTGTCTCTCTGTCTGTCTCTGTCTGTCTGGCGAGCGCACATGCCCTATAGCAAAAACCTCTCCCCCCCAAAAAAAAGAAATACACAGGGTGTGTGTGCATGTGTGTGTGTGTGTGTGTGTGTGTGTGTGTGTGTACATGCCCCAAACCCCGAAAGGAAAAAGAAGAGATTGGAAGAGAAGAAGAGATTGTGGCATGACCTTCCTTCATGGGGGTTGCTTTCTCACTTTTCCTCTCTGTCTCTTTGTCTCTGGTGAGCACATGTGCCCACTGGCAAAAATTGAAATATATTTTTCTTTTTTGAGAGGCTTTTGCTATAGTGCACATGCGCTCGCCAGAAAGACAGAGAAAGACAGAGAGACAGAAAGCAAGAAATCACCCCCATGGGGATGACCATGCTGCAATCCCTTCTCCTCCATTCTCCTCTCGGGATCTTGGGCATGCACGCACACACACCTGGCATGAGTTTAAGCCACCAGGTCCGGGACTCAAACCGCGGTCGACTACATGGGAGTCCAGCGACATAGCTATTACGCTAACTGCTGGTCCCTACATATATATATATTTTTTTTTTTTGAGAGAGATAAACCACATTCACATAACTTTTATTATTGTATATATTATACTTTTTCTATTTTTTATTAGTTATTATTGTTACTCTCTACCATGCCTAATGCACATTTAAAATTTATCTTCTGTGTGTATGTGTATATAGGCTATACATGGTTTGGTACTATCCAGTGTAAATCTTGAACTGTATCCCCCTTGGATAAGATGGGACTACAAAATAGCCTGTATTTCCACTCATTTTTCTAGAAAATTTTATCATTTGTGATGGCATTTTTTAATACTTCGCACAACTTTTATTCTTGTGTACTTCCTGCTCTTCACTCTGCAGTATTATGTTTAGTTTGGTTTGCTGGGGTGACTTTTACTCATCTTTTAATACTGAACTCAGGTTTCACTTTAAAAAACAATTTTTTTTAGTTTTGCTGTAGGGTATGTGCATATACCAGACAGAGATAGGGACAGAGAGGGATAGAGAAAGTGAGGAGGAAGTCACCCCTCAGGGTGAATGGCCATGCTGCAATCGCTTCTCCTCTCAGGATTCTAGGCACCCATGCACATGTGCCTGGCATGTTTTTCAAGCCACTGGGTCCAGGGCTCGAACCTCACAGTTAGCTGTGTGGGATCCAGCTGTCTTAACTACCATAGCAGTAGCTGGCCCCGGGTTTCACCTATTATAGGAAGTGTTGCCCAAACCCTAATTTAACTAGTCTCCATATAATGCACTCTGACATTTGTGCACAAATTTGGAATTTGCCATACTGTATTAAACCTTCCATATGACTCTTTTTTTCCCTTTAGACCATTTAAGCAAAGACCATGATTTACTTATTGTTGTATCAACCCCTGACTAGGAAATGACCGGCTCGTCGTTTCTTAGTGAGGTGCCAGGAGTCAGTGGTTCCCAGGTACCAGTCAGCTGTATCAGACACCTGGAGTGCATATTAAAACCATTTCATTGTTTTTTAGGCTTTGTGAAGTGTTATGATTCAATAGATCTGAACAGGATCTGGGAATATGTATTTTTAAAAAACTCTCCAGTTGATTCTGGTTTGCTTACAAGTTTGGGAACCATTTTTCTGGTTGTTTATTATACTAGAATTTATGTAAAAGATCTTATGCAGTAACTTATTGCTTAATAATATATAGTTACTAAAATATGCATATATTTTAAGTTACTTTTTTTAGTACTATATGTGTAGAAGTATCTTAACTCATTAAGTGTCTCATTGGAAGAGTGGTTGATAATTGTTAACACTACTGAAAAAAGCTCTTTAAATAGGATTCTTGAGTGGATGTAATCAGATTAGTTGGGCTTCATTCTGTGAATTTTAATATTTTTTGTAATATTTTTACTTTTTGTTGTAATTTTTTTTTTTTTTGAGAGATTTTCACTGTAGGGCGCGTGCGCTCGCCAGATAGACAGAGACATAGAGACAGAAAGCGAGAAATCACCCCCCAGGGGGGATGGTCACGCCGCAATCCCTTCTCCTCCATTCTCCTCTCAGGATCTTGGGCACACATGCACACGCGCCCGGCGTGAGTTTTAAGCCACCGGGTCCAGGACACGAACCGCGGTCGACTACGTGGGAGTCCAGCGACATAGCCATTACGCTAACTGCTGGTTCCCTGTTGTAATTTTTCAAACTTAAATATTTTATGATGGCTTCAAGTTAAACTAAAGTGCACAGATCTTAAATATACATCTCAGTTAATGTTTACATATCTGTGTATCCATGAAGTACCACCCAGGTTAAGATATAGAACATTTCTAGCCTCTCAAAGGTTTGTTAGGTCCTTTTCCTATTAATGCACACTTCTCCTACCACAAGTTAATTACTGTTTTGACTTGTGTGAACCTCAGTCTGTTAATGATTTTTTGTACATAACTTTTGGTGGACATGTGTGTTCCTTTCTCTTGGGTATACACATGGAATTTCTGGGTTAAGAACAAGCTTGTCTTTTACCTTCAATTAACACTTGATAGCAATTGAAAATGAAATTAGTAAGTGAATGGTGAAATTTGAATATCCTGAAACTTCTCTTTGTTTCCAGTGTGGTTATTGTAAAAAAAAATTCAGTTGTGCAAAGAAAACTCTGTGAGTATTATCAGAAATCAGCTTTGTTTCAGTAAGATGATTTTTGTACGTTAGTAATCTTTTTTCTTTCTCCTCTCTCCTTAGGCTCATCTTTCCTTGTGGGTTGGCAAGCAGTTGTAGGACTGTAAAATGGGTCTCCGGATTCACTTTGTTGTTGACCCACATGGTTGGTGCTGCATGGGTTTGATTGTTTTTGTCTGGTTATACAATATTGTTTTAATTCCCAAAATTGTCCTCTTTCCTCACTATGAAGAAGGACATATTCCAGGCATATTAATAATAAGTAAGTTTTCACATCTTTATTTCCTTGTGTAATTAAAGATTTGCCTTTTGTGATCATAGTGACACTGTGATCAACCTTTGTAATATATTTAATGTTTAGTAGTACTGTTAATATTTAGTTAATTACTAAATTATGGATGTTTTCAATGGCCTTTATATATTTGCAGTTAGCTGAACTGTTATCTTCATTATTTATTTAACTCTGCAAAATATATGAAAACCGTTTTGTTTGGAAAAAGATGACATAGTAGTAAAAATGTGTGTGTCTGTGTGTACTTCTAATGTTTATGTTTTATACTTAATGGCAAATGTAGCAGTTTTAAGAATGGAAATGATGCATATTGCTGGGAAATGAGAGTTTTATGATATTAAATTATTGATTATGAAGTTGGTTTTGTTAACATTTAGAACTGCTGGGTAATTATTTTCTGCATAGCCCATTGGTGATGGCTTGCTGATAGTTACAGAAATCAAATCAAAGTTACATATTTTACATGTACATGACATACACAGTTTATGTGCATTACTTCACTTGACCTCAGAAGAGCTATAGGAAATATAATTTTTGTTACACAAATAGTGAAACTGGCCTAAACCATGCAGTCAGTCCAGGAGTGAGCAAACTGTTTCCTTTCATATGTAGAATGTGTTTTTATTCTGACAACAAAGTACCTATATTCTTACTAATTTCAAATGTAGAATTATGGTGACTGAATTTGTTTTTCTTTACTGTTATTTTTCCTGCTTTTTACTTTTAAAATTCAGAAGTTTCCAATTTTTTACTCTCAGATATTTTAAGTTCTATCAGAAGGAGCAATTTAACATCACTAATTCAGAGTAATTTTGAAGATAGCCAATTAGAGTCAGTGAAAATGTTGGATTGCTGAATATTTTTAAAAATGCTGTTATACTATGATTCAAATATAGTACATGAAGTATTTATTATTAATTTACACCATTATTGATAGGGAAGCACTATTAATAACAAGTCTGATTTATAACAATTTTATTAGTTATTATGTGAAATAATATTTAAAACCAGTACATTTAAGATAATCCTCTTGGGCAGTAGTATTTGTCAAGCAAAATGAATTAGTTATTTAATCTTCCTGTCTTATCTTTTTAAATTTATTTCTCCTGGTGGTGTTAATTAAACTGTATACTTCAAGCCTTAAATATGCTTGCTGATCAAATGCTTTGAAGGATAAATAACTAAATTGTTTATTTTTTATTTTGAAGTATTCTATGGCATTGCTATATTTTGTCTGGTTGCCCTAGTGAGGGCCTCAATAACTGATCCGGGAAGACTCCCTGAGAACCCTAAGATCCCACATGGAGGTATAGTACTCTTAGGATTTATCAATGTGACTGATACCAGAACTACTGTCTTTGTTAGTGTATTTTATTTTATTTAAAATGTTAGTTTTATGTGTCATCTAGTAGGGATAAAACTTGAAAATAGGAATAGACTTGAAAATCTGCTCATGTGTTTCTTTTCTAGACTTCTTGATTTAAAATTGTAAATCCTCTCTTTATCTCCTCACATCCCCCCATTCCTTTTCAGTTTATTTGCTTGTCTCCTTTCTCCCATTTTATGTGTGTGTGTGCGTGTGTGTGCGTGTGTGTGTGTGTGTGTGTGTGTGTATATATATATATTTAAGAGTATAGGTTTTTGTTTTGTTTCCTTCATTTGTTCATGCTGTTTTATTTGTGTGAGAAGAATCTGTCAACTAAATGTTTGGTAAATATTTGTTAAATGATATATACTTATCTGCAAAACTATACTTTCATGTAATAAAGAGATTTTCTTTTTAGTACCACTTACCTCAAATGCTGTCAATTTAGTGTTACTTGTAATAAATACTTGTAGCATTATGGGTATTATTGCCTGTGTCGCTGTAAGTTTTAACAACTCAGTGAAATATTCGAAAACCTTTTGTTCAAGTTTAAGAGTAATTTTTGACCACCCTATTGCATAATAACAATTCCAAACGCAAATGTGAATTGAAAATACATTGCTTGTTTTCTTACATACTAAATATAGCACAATTTCATTTATCTTTTTTTCTGGGTCTCACATTTTCATTTATTTTCTATATAAACTGCAGACTTTATATGTCCATGTAGTACATTATATTGATAGAACTGGAGTACTTTTCATGATAATTTAGTTGTTTCCCTACTTGTTGTATATTAGAATTCTTGGGGAGCTTTAAAAACTCTTGGTGCTGGGGCCAGCAAGTGGCATAGTGGTTAAGGTGCTAGACTCCCATGTGGCTAACCATGGATTGAGTCCTGGACCCAAGTGTCTTTAAACTCATGCCAGGTATGTGTATGTGCATGCCCAAAAGCACCCCCTAAGAGGAAAATGGAGGAGAAGGGATTGTGATGTGGTCTTCTTCCCTGGAGGGGGGAGGGGGATTTCTCACTTTCTGTCTCTCTATCTTGCATACATGCCCTATAGAAAATATCTCCCAAAAAAGAAAAAAAACTCTTGTGCCTGGGTTATACTCCTTATTAATTAAATCAGAATATCTGGAAGTTGGAGGGCCAGCAGATGGTGTAATAGTTACATTGCTGAACTCTCACCTAGTTAACCATGTTTCGAGTCCCAGACCTGGCAGTTTAAAACTCACGCCAAGTGTGTGTGTGTATGCGTGCCCAAAATCCTGAGAGAAAAATGGAGAAGAAGGGATTGCCGTGTGCTGGGAGATGATTTCTCGCTTCTGTATCTCTGGTGAGCACATGTGCCCTAAGGCAAAAATCTCTCTCTCTCAAAAAGAAGAGTATCCGGAAGTTGGAGTTAGGTACCAGTATTTTTAAAAAAATCCTAGGTGATTCCAGTGTGTAGCAAAGTTTAGGAATCAATGCAATAATTACTTATAAAATTAAATTAAGTGACTGCCACTTATGGAGCCTACTGTAAAGTCCTGATTGCTATTTTTTAAGACCCATTACTTGCAAATTTAGAGATTAAATTGGAATATTACCTTGATGTTTATGTGGCTATAGAAGTTTTTGAACATTATAATGAATATTTCACTTTTGTTAACAGTATCCCTGTCATGTATAGTGTGTGTGTGTGCACATGTGCGTATGTGCACATGCCTGTGTTTCTTTTGCAGGTGTGGAGAGGGTGGCACTCACAGTGTGTATGGAATATTCTCCTATTCACCACTGGGTTAGCCAAAAGTTGTCTAAAATATTGTATAGGTGTGTTGAAATTGGCCAGTCCATGGCCAGTTTCGCTCCTGGCATGAGTTTTAAGTTGTCAGGTTTGGACCTTGAACTGCAGTCAACTATGTAGGAGTCCAGCGATGGAACCATTATGCTATCTATTGGTCCCTATTGTGATTATTAATGCTTGGTCAGATGTCTGACTTGCAAATACTTTCTTCCATTCTATGGGTTATGTCTTATGTTGTTCAGTGTTCCCTTTGCTGTGCAGAAACTTTGATGTGATCCTATTTATTTTTTCTGTTGTTACCTATGCATTTGAGGTCTTATTTAAAAAATCTTTGCCTAGAATGATAAGTATTTTCCCTATATTTTCTCTTAGTAATTTCATGGTTTCATGTCTTAATGTTTAAGTATTTAATGGATTTTTAGTTAATTTTTGCTTATGGTGAGCGATGAGGTCAATTTTTTTTTCTCCTGCTTATGGATATTCAGCTTTCCTATCACCATTTATTAAAGAGACTATCCTTACCCCAGTGAATGTTCTTGGGACATTTGCCAAACGTCAGTTGGCTGTATGTCCATGGATTTATTTCTGGATTCACCTATTCTTCATTGATCCATCTGCCTATTTTTCTGCTAGTACCATGTGATTTTGGTTACTGTTAACTTTGTAGAATATTTTGAAGTCAGGTAATGTGATGGCTTCAAGTTCGTTTTGTTTTTGTTTCCTTATTTATTTCTTTCAAGAGAGAGAGACGGCACCCTTAACAAGGTTTTGAAGGTGTGATCCACCCTCAGCTTCAGCCAGTTGATGGATCAAGGGCATGCACAAGCCCAATATGCTCAGGGATGTCTCTTTAACATGAACCCAGGACCTTCCAATGTGGTTCAGCCTTGCAAGAGCATTGCATTAATTTAAAAAAAAAAAATTAACTTTATTTATTTATTTATTTATTTTAATTTGAGCAGAGAGGGACGGAGTGAGAGAAAGAGAGAGAGAGAGAGAGACAGGAGAGACAGACAGAGAGAAAGTGAGAAAGCAAGCCACCGGGTCTGAGACTTGAACCGCGGTCAGCCATGTGGGAGTCCAGCGTCCCATGCCACCTACTGGCCCTGCAAGAGCAGTGCATTTTTACTGCTGAGCCACCATCCAGCTCCCAGCATTTTTCTTTTTGCACAGGATTGCTTTGGCTCTTCAGGGTCTTTTGTATTTCCATGCAAAATGTATGATCGATTTTCCAGTTTCTTTGAAGAGTGATATTTTATGTGTATTGCATCAAATCTGTAGGTGGCTTTGAGTAGTATCAATGTTTTAACAATATTGATTCTTTGAATCTATGGACCAGGAGATATCTTTTCATTGTTTATGTCATCTTTAGTTTCTTTCATCAGTGTTTCGTAGTTTCATTCTTTTGCCTCCTTGGTCAAATTTAAGTGTATTTATTTTTTGATACTATTGGACATGGGATTTTTTTTTGAAGGATTATTTATTTAATTGTATTCATCATCATCATCATCATCATCATTATTTTTTAATTTGCTATAGGGTATGTATGCTCACCAGAGAGAGGGAGGAAGAGGGAAAATGAGAAAGCAACCCACCAGGTTTGGTACTCAAACTGCAGTCAGGAATGTGGTAGTCTAGTGCCTTAACCACCATACCACCTGCTGGCCCCTGTATGGTTTTCTTGATTTCTTTTTCAGCTAGTTACTGATGTCAATAATGCCAGTATTTTTTATACATTGTGTATCCTGCAACTTTACTGAATTCATTTATCAGTTGTGAGAGTTTCTTTGGTGGATTTGTTAGGTTCTTCTATATACATGATCATATCTGCAAACAGGTACAATTTTACTTTCTCCTTTCTAATTTGGATGCCATTAATTTCTTTCTCTTGCCTGATTGCTTTAGCTATGATTTCCAATACCATGTTGAATAGGTATGGAGAAAGTGGACGTGTTTGTCTTGTTCCAGTTCTCAGAGGGAACACTTGCAATTTTTTTCTTATTCTGTGTGATGTTAAATGAGGATTTGTGATATGAAACCAGCAGTTAGCGTAATGGCTATGTTGCTGAACTCCCATGTAGTCGACTGTGGTTTGAGTCCTGGACCCAATGGCTTAAACTCACGCCGGGCACATGTGCTTGCGTGCCCAAGATCCCAAGAGAATGGAGGAGAAGGGATTGCACCGTGGCCACCCCCTCTAGGGGGTGATTTCTCGCTTTCTATCTCTTTGTCTTTCTCTCTATCTTTCTGGCGAGTGCACGTACCCTATAGCAAAAATTTCTCAAAAAAAAAATGAGGATTTATGATATAAAGCTTTTATTATGTTGAAATACGTGTCTTCTGTAACTAATCTGTTAAGAGTCTTAATCATAAAGGGATGTCCTATTTTATCATCTGCTTTCTCAGTGTCAAGTGATATGATCATATGGTTTTTATCTTTCTCTTGATGTGATGTATAACATTTGTTGATTTCAGTATGTTGAGCCATTCTTGCATCCCTGAGAAACCCTGCTTGGTCATGGTGTATATTCTTTCCAATGTGCTGCTAAATTCAGTTTGCTAGGATTTTGTTAAAGATTTTTGCTTCTACGTTCACCAGAGATAATAGTCTGTAATTGTCCTTTTTTGTTGTTTTGGCCTTACATGTTTTGATATCAGGGTATGGTGGCCTTGTAAAATGAGTTCAGAGAATATTCCCTTCACTTGACTCTTTTGGAATAATTTGAGAACTGGTGTCAGTTCATTAAAAGATTTATAAAATTCAGCAGTGAAGCCATGTAATCCTGGGCTTTTCATTGTTGGGAGACTTACTGATTTAGTCTAATTGATTTATTGTTAGCCTGATCAAGCTTTCTGTTTATTCCTGGTTCAATTTTAGTAGATTGTACATGTCCAGGAATGATCTCCTCTAGGTTTTCCATTTTGTTGGCATATAATTGTTTATAGTGGTCTTTAATGATCTTCTGTATTTCTGTGGTCTCAGTTTCTGATTTTATGTGGATATTCTTTTTTTTTCTTAAGGTAGTCTAGCTAATGGTGGGCCAATTTTGTTTATTCTTCAGAAAACTGACTTTTCTCTTTATGGATCTTTTGTATTGTTTTGCTTTCTATCTCATATATTTCTGCTCTGGACTTTATTATTTCTTTCCCTCTACTGCTTGTGGGTTTTGTTTATTCATGCTTTTCTGGTTGGTGCATAATGCATTGTTAGGTTGTTTGCCATCTCTCTCTCTCTTTTAAATATGGATTCTTATTGCTTAAATTTTTCTCTTAGGACCATTTGCTTTTGTTTCAAGAAATAACATTTTTTTAAAATTTCGTTATTGCTCTAATAATCATTTAGGAGCGTGTTGCTTAGTTTTCATGTATTTATCTATTTTACACAGTTCTTTTTGATGGTGATTTCTTTTGTTTTCCCATCACGGCTAGAAAAGATACTGACTGTGATTTTTACGTATTACATTTTTTGAGGCTTGATTTGTGACCTGTGGTGGAGTAATAGCCAGTTCCTATTTTACAGAGTAGCTTTTGTCCAGAAGAGTGGTCTTTGGTGTTTACAATTGCACATTTTCTTTCCTTTCCTCAAGTAGGGACTCCTTTAAGGAAATTGAATACTATTCTCTTCTTTTACTTTGATTTAGAATCTTCTCTCTGGTTTTTCTTTTCTCATTTTATATATATTTCATTTTTTTGCCATGGGGCCTGTATGCTCACGGGAGACAGAGACAAAAAGAGAGGGAAAGTGAAAGTGAGAAGTCACTCCCCCTCACCCCCAGGAGATGGTAATGCTGCAATCCCTTCTTCTCCATTCTTCTTTGGGATTTTGGGCACACACGCACAGATGCCCAGCATGTTTTTCAGGCCTCTGGATCCAGGACTTGACCTGCTAAGTCAGCCATGTAGAAGCCAGCAGCTTAACCACCATGCCACCTGCTGTCCCATCTCTTTTTTTTTTTAAATTTGCCAAAGAGCATGTGCATTCACGAGAGAGACAGAGAATGAGGGAAAGTTAGAAAGCAACCCCCCAGAGGATTATCATGCAGCAATCTCTTCTCCATTTCTACATCCTTTTTGGATTTTGAGCATGCATGCATACACACATGCCATATTTGTTTCTTGGGCCATGTGGGACCTAGCCACCTTTATCTTCATGCCACAGGGCTGTCTCCTTCCTTTTCTCATTCAAAATTTGTTTTTATACTTGAACAAACATTTAGTAACCACCTAGTATCTCACCAGGATCACACATGTACTTACATTGACTTTGAATATAGGACTTAGGTTATTTTTTAAAAGAATTATTTATTTTTTATTATCATTATTATTGTTATTACTATTTTAAATTTGCTATAGGGTACCTGTGCTTACCAGAGAGAGAGAGAGAATGGGGCAAAGTGAGAAAGCAAGCTACCTGGTCTGGGACTCAAGTCACAGTTGGCCATGTGGGAGTCCAGTGTCCTAACCACAGAGTTAGGTTATTTTTACCATGCCCTTACTTTTATTGAGGTTATTAGGTAGTTTAAACCTAAGTCATGAAAGGGGCCAGCAAGGGGCCAGCAGGTGGTGTGGTTGTTAAGGGCACTGGACTCCCATCTGGCTGACCGTGGTTCAAATCCCGGATCTGGCAGCTTGGTTTCTTAACTTTCTCTCTCCCCCTCTCTCTCCCTTCCTCCCTCTCTAGTCTGTCTGCCTATCTGTTTCTCTCTCTCTGGTCAAATTTAAATAAATAAATAAAGTTAAATAAAATATTTCTTTAAAATAAAACATAAGTGATGAAAAATTTAAGGATTTTTGAAAAGGTAAAATTTTATTTCAATAAATACTCAGTTGTTGGAAAAGTCATGATTTTTACACAGAAAAAGTCATATATTTTTACACAGAAAAATACATCATGAATTTTCAGATGATCCAATATTTAAAAGATACATTTTATATAATAAAATAATTGCTCTAATCTTAGAAGATTACTCCCTTTTTGCTCTTTTGGAGCTGATTAATTTTATAGTGTAAACAAGTGCTTTTTCTCTTTATTTATGCAAACTTACCTTTTTAGCACAGGACTTAATTTCATTCTCTTTCATAACAGGCTAGAGGTGACTGGTACATGATGGTAGTTTTATAAAGAACACTTTTATTTCCCTTAAATAGCAATTTTTTTGTGATCTTCTTCACTCCTGAAAGTATACTGATAAATCCATCTGACATTCTTCTCAAACCTGCTTCCATATACATCCCAAATGCAATGACTGATATTTTAAAAATAAAACTGTTTAGGATGGACTGGTTTCATATCGGATCAGTTGGATCCTACATGGCCAACTACGCACAGCTTGAGTCCCGGATCGACTTGAGATGAGACACATAGTGTATATGTGTGCATGCCCAGAAGGAGGGAGAGATGGAGAAAAAGAGATTGTGGCATGACCGTCGATCAGTGGGCGTGCTTTCTCTCCCTCTGTCTCTGTCTCTGACTAGTGCACATGCCTTCTTAAAAAGGGAGGGGGAGAGCTTAGAGGTTTTTTTCTGATGTATTTATAGGATTAATTTTAACTTGTTAATGTACTGGAACCCACACTCACCATTATTTCTTCTTCCTTTTTCTTTTTAAATTGCCAGATGGTGTGTATGCTCGGCAGAGAGAGATCGAGAAAGAGAGAAAGAGGGAGAAAGAAAGTGAGAAGGCACCTGCTATCGGGGATGGTCATGCCACAATCTTTTCTTCATTTCTCCCTCCTTTTGGGGTTTTGGGCAAGCGTACACATGTGCCCAGTGTGTTTTTCAAGCTGCCAGGTCCAGTGTGTAAACCAAGAGTTGGCCATGTGGGATCTAGCTGCCTTAACTACCATGCCACAGATTGACTTCCGTTATTTATTTTTTAGAACCTTTAGGAAATAAATTTTATAGAGATTAACTTGTTTAAATAAAACAATGTATTAGTAAAATAATTTAGTTGGACTTTAGAGTGTTGTTATTGGGTTTTACTTATATTCTATTAATATGTCCAAAACCCAAATATATTGTTTTTTTTTTTAATCCCTTACTTTGGCTATAACAATAATGTTATTTTTATAATGTGTAAAATGAGAAACATACAAAATAAGGCATACATAGAACAGTTGCATTTTCATCAAATACACTGACACTGGAGACTGAAAAAAAAAAGAAAATCTCTTAGATATATATTGAAAACTTATCTTAAAATCTTCCAAACAGTTGTTGCTAAATTTTAGCCTTACTCATTTGACTTCATTGAGTTGATTTAATTTCCTTTTCTAGAAAGGGAGTTCTGGGAGTTATGTAATAAATGCAATTTGATGAGACCAAAACGTTCCCACCACTGCAGCCGCTGTGGCCACTGCGTAAGGCGAATGGATCATCACTGTCCATGGTAAGAAATAAATAATTCACTTTTAGCAACAGAGAAAAAGAAAAGAAGGTAGTGAAAAATAAATTCAGGGACTTAGCAGGTTTAAACAAAAGTTATATGCTTAGACAGTTTTTAAAAAGGATATCTTTGTTTGATCATATAGTTCTGTCAACTCCCACTGTAATTTTTCCACAGAAATGCTGTCTTTTCTAATAAGGAGAGATTTGAGCAGAAAACCAATAATTAATAGACATCTAAATGTACACAGGGATTAAGGTTCTTATATTAAATGAGGCTGTATGTAAAGCACTTACTACAGTATCTGAATATAGGCCATACTTAAATAATAGCTTTTATGTCTAAATATAATAAAACATGTACATACCACTGTATCTCCCTTTCCATTTGTTTAATTAATGAATACGCCATTTCAGGTACCTTTATTACCCCCTTCTCACCTCATAAGCCTTTGTAGGTATTACATATTGGATATAGGTACTGACAGTATATGCCTGTTAGATGTGGATAGGTGATAATTAGCTGATTCTGCTGCACTGCCAGCAGTTTTGGTCAACAGGGGGCTCCCTTGTAATATTTAAAGAAAATGTTCAGTTGAGAAATAGTTTTTGAAAACAAATGCTGTGAGAATTTTGTATTGTATTTCATCTCAAAGCTGTCACAAAATCTGTGAGCAAGATATTGTATTTAATTCTGTTTTCCTAACATTGGCTCTCTGTATAAATATTTAAACTGGTATAGTGTTGCGCTTTATAAATGTTATCTATGTACGTATATATTTGTTTTCACCCACATGCATGCATATATACAAAGTTAACTACATAACAGTCTTCTTATATTTATAACTGCATTTGTTTGAAATTGGCTTAAGGATAGAGTTTAGTTTTGCCTAATAGTGCTAATCAGTTTAGAGTTTCCCTTATTTTTGATAATTTCCTTGATAGCATAGCTAATTAGCAAACTTTTAATAGAAATTTGTTTTTATGATTAATTATTTCAGTGCTATGTAATTTCCTGAGATTAGGGAAAAATATGAACATTTTAGGTAATAGCATTTTGTTACTATATAAAATGTTTTAAATCATCTAAATCCATCAATAAAATAGTGTAGTGTAAGACATGTAGTTGATGTTCAAATAATGTGCCTTGAATTTAAACTGATTAAATTTCAAGTTATTTTCTAAACCTCAGTGGTCTGTTTACAGTCACAATACTAGCAGGTTTATTTATTTATTTTTTTGGTGGGAAGATATTTTTGCTATAGGGCTTGTGTGTTCGTCAGAGACACAGAGACAGAAAGTAAGAAATCACCCACCGGGGGGATGACCATGCTGCAATCCCTTCTCTTCCATTTTCCTCCATTCTCTTCTCAGGATTTTGGGCATGCATGCACACACACTTGGCGTGAGTTTTAAGCCACCAGGTCCGGGACTCAAACCATGGGAAGTCCATCAACATAACCATTATGCTATCTGCTGGTCCTCACTAACAGTTTTTAAAAAGCTAGGTGAAATATGTTCAAAAAGGTTTTAGTTACATTGAAAAAACGCAGTTTTAAGAACTTTTTATAGTATTGTTTCTGGTTAATGAAAACTATACATGTTTATGGTACAGGTAGATACTGATGCTTTCTTTTGAAAGACTGTGATAGCTTAAAATTTTAAAAAATCATCTAGGAATGGGACCAGCAGTTAGCGTAATGGCTATGTCGCTGGACTCCCACATAGTCAACCACGGTTCGCATCCCGGACCCGGTGGCTTAAAACTCATGCCGGGCACGTGTGTGTGTGCCCAAGATCCCGAGAGGAGAATGGAGGAGAAGGGATTGCGGCATGGCCATCCCCTCTGGGGGGTGATTTCTTGCTTTCTGTCTCTCTGTCTGTCTGGTGAGCGCACGCGCCCTATAGCAAAAACCTCTCCAAAAAAAAAAAGAAAATCATCTAGGAATTATTTTGTTAGAAACTAAATTTTTTTTCCCCTTCTCTCAAAGGGATAAAGAGCAGCTTGTTGGGTGACCATATAAGGAGCTGTTTAACATTGGGGTTATTTCTAACATTTCTAAATTCTAACGCTGGGGTGATGTCTATGGTTCTTGGTCTTGTGCAGCCACATTTTCGGTTAATTTCTCAGAATAATGGTAAGAGGGAGAATGGAAATAGAAAAGATTAGAGGAGAAAGGAGGGTAGATCTAAACAGATTTAAAATTTTCATGATTGAATTCCTTAATAGAATACTGCTAAGATATTTAGAGAATGAGGGGAATGTATGAAGTGGAAGTAAGGAGAGTTTCTGTGTTCTCACTTCTTTCTAATGTGGTTAAGAGAACTCTTACATATGGATGAACTGATTTTTTTTTTTTTTTTGGAGAGGTTTTTGCTATAGGGCGCATGCGCTCGCCAGATAGACAGAGACATAGAGACAGAAAGCGAGAAATCACCCCCCAGGGGGGATGGCCATGCTGCAATCCCTTCTCCTCCATTCTCCTCTCAGGATCTTGGGCATGCACGCACATGTGCCTGGCATGAGTTTTAAGCCACGGGGTCCGGGACGCGAACCGCGGTCGACTATGTGGGAGTCCAGCGACATAGCCATTACGCTAACTGCTGGTTCCCTGGATGAATTGTTTTTTCAAATGACTTTTTTTGGTAGAGGATTTTTTACCTTAGAGCATGTGTGCTTGCCAGACAGAGAGACAGAGACAGTGAGAGGGAAAATGAGAAATCACCCCCCGGGGTTGGGGGGAAGACCACACCGCAATTCCTTCTCCTCCATTTTCCTCTCAGGGTTTTGGTCACGTACACATGTGCATCCAGTGTGTTTCAAGCTGCTTGGTCTGGGACTTGAATCAGTCGACCATGTGGGGGTCCAGTGATGTAACCACTATACCATCAGCTGGCCCCATGCTTTCTCAAACTTCTTGGACACGGAATAGCACAAGAATAAGTCATCTTTCAGGCAATAGCTGTTAAAGAGCCTGTTGAGGTTCTCATACATAGGAACACTTGTCTAATAGCTCTGCTTGCAAATAACAAAACAGTACATTTTCTTGTTTAACAAGCATTTACTCTTAAGTCTGTGAAATGTTTCTATGATGTTTTTCCGGTTCAGTTCTATGTTTTATTTTTTAAAAAAGGAAAAATTTAATTGCACACTTAAAAACAATTTATATTAGTAATGGAATCTTTCACATCATTTTTAGAATGATAGTGTAGTACTTTGAAATGAAAGGCTTTTGTACAAGTTAATTTTTGTTTTGAACTAGGGTTTTCTGCTGGAATTTAAAAGTATTTTGAAAATTTGGGTGCAATAAATAAGTTTGGAACAATAAAATATTTAGCTTAAATTAGTTTTGAAAATTTGGGGATTGTAACATTAATCATTTTTCCTGGTTAGGGTACTGTTCTATTACTGGTAGAAGTGTAACTCTAAGCTAAGTAGTCTTGAGAAAGTTCAGGGAAAGTGTATTTGGAAAGAAGTATGTATGTATTATGAATTTTTTGATCCAAAATAAACTTATACTTAATTTCAATTTTTCATGAATATTTTTAATTCATCTCATATTTGTAGTTTTGAATACATTTTTATTTTCAGCAATCAGATATATTTTTAAAGTAAGAAAAATTAGAATGCTTTGTAGTTATGACAGAGTAGTCAGTTCAAATTATTTTGCTTCATAGCGTTCAAGTTGCTCTCTACATTTACGATGTCATCATCCAGGGCTATATCCTGGTGAGAGGGTGCTTGCTCGCTGGGCCCCGTCTTTGCTAACGGTGTGTCCTCTGGCTCGTGGCTTACTTCCTTTGTTCTGTGTTCATATCAATGCAACAAGGAGACTCCCATCTACTTTCCCTGCCACGTTGGGGTTTCATGAGTTGGAAGGTGGAGCATATACATGGACTGCCTTCATGAAGTATTCAATAGAAAATGCTATACAAATGTCAAATGGTATATTTATATCCATTCTTTGTATTTTTTGCTTTGCTTTTAGATTTGAGTAGTTTTAGTTATGTCCATGAAATTAAGCATATATGAAGTTGTGTTTATTTTTAGTCTTACCGATCCTGAAGAGAACATCTTATTAAAGGTTAAAATACTGTTTCTTTTTTTATTTTTTTCCCTTCAGGATTAACAATTGTGTTGGTGAAGATAATCACTGGCTTTTTCTGCAATTGTGTTTCTACACTGAACTTCTTACTTGCTACGCACTGATGTTTTCTTTCTGCCACTATTATTATTTTCTTCCACTAAAAAAGCATAATTTGGTAAGAAATGTTTGTAACCATTAATGTTAGAGTGGCTATAGCATACAGTTATAAATATGTCATTCCTTAAATACAGAATATTGATAATAAAATTTTAAAAACCCTCCAAATTGGTGAATTCTAAAATATATTGGCATGGAGGATGTAGACCTAGTCTGACATTTTCTTTTAATCAGATCTGTTTATTATTATTTGTTAGTGTTAAGTGACCATTTTTTAGAAAGCAGCATATTAGATCTTTTAATATATATATATGGTCTTGGTTTAAAAATATCCATGATAAGGAAAAAAGCTTCTTGTTTCTTTTAGAAATACAAATATAGGATTAGTTGAAGGTTTAAAGGTTTTCAAAGGAACAGTTCAATTCTTGATAAAATGTAAATGAATTTTGTATTTTTAAATATTTAGACTTTAGTACCATTATGTATATTCCAAAATCTGAAGATATGCAAAGTCTAAAATACTTCTGGTCTCAAACATTTTGGATAAGTAGTACTCAACCTGAGCCATTGAGACAGTGCTTTCGTCATTTTGTAGAGGAACTCCAATAGATGTTAAGATTTGCCCTGAATGGTGGTGGTGGTAATGAGAGCAGCAACTAGAACTTTTAATTCCTTGACCGTATATTAACATTGTGCTATGGAATCTCATTTTAATTTTCATTTTAAAGGCTCTTAACAGCTACATAACTTAGGTATAATTTCCTCCCCACTTTTGTAGATAAGGAAACTGATTAATAGAGCTTAAGTAAGGTGCCAAAGCCACAAAGGTAGGAAGTGATTATTTAACTTTGGATTTGAATATGATCTGGTGTTTGTTTTACCGTTATTCCTTGCATTTTATTTGGATTTGGAGTGTCAAAATTTAAAAATACTATGTATGGGGCACTGAGAGATGGTATAATGGTTTTGGACTCCCATGTATTTGACTGCGGTTTGAGTCCCAGACCTGGTAACTTAAAACTCACGCTGCATGCGTGTGCATGCGTGCCCAAAATCCCAAGAAGAGAATGGAAACGCGATTGTGGTGTGGTCCTCCCCCCTGGGGGAGGTGATTTTTAGTTTTCTCTCTCTGTCTCTCTGGTCAGTGCATGCTCCCTATAGCAAAAATCTTTCTCTCTCTCAAAAAAAAAAATGCTATGTATGTGTGTAAGTGTGTCCGAGTGCACATGGGTGTGTATGTGAGAGAGTAAGAGTTAGAGACAGGTAGAGAGCATGTGCCTATGGACATGTGAAGATGTAAGCTAGGTAGGAGGAGTGAAGAAAGAAAAAAACCCTTGACATAAAAGGTGTATTTTTCTTTTCTGTTTATACCAGTTTATTTATATTTATAAAGCATTGTGGTGTACATACAGTTAAATTTTGGAATAAATTTAACATAGACTTTGAATATATAGCACTTACAGACTTTTAAGTGAAAAAGTGAAGTCTTACATATTGGATCTTTTTAGTATATATGATCATTTTGAAAAATTGAAAGAAGATAGTAGCTCTTGTTTGTCTATGTTAGTGAGTCTTGTGATGATTATGCTTATTAAATATAGCTTGAGCAATTAAAATTAGATACTAATAAATTGACAGAAGTTGAAAGGGAAGAATTTCAAATATAGGTGTTTCTGGTATATAACTGGTATTATATAGTTAGAATATAAAATATTGTACATTCCCTGAGTAAGCTGTTTGAAATAATTGAGTCTGTATAAGCATTAAAATGAAATTGTTTAGCAGGATTAAGATCATAATTTTTTTTAAAGTTAAAAAAAATAATAGTGTTATTGTAAAATTGATAGTGGCTCTTTTTTCTTTTATTGGAGAGGTTTTCTTTTTTTTTTTTTTGCTATAGGGCGCGTGTGCTCACCATAAAGAGACAGAGACAGAAAAGCGAGAAATCACCCCCCAGGGAAGATGACCACGCTGCAATCCTTTCTCCTCCATTCTCCTCTTGGGATCTTGGACATGCACGCATACGTGCCCAGTGTGAGTTTAAGCCACGAACTGTGCTCGACTACATGGGAGTCCAGCGACATAGCCATTACACCAACTGCTGGTCCCAATAGTGGCTCTTTAAGAGGGAACACATTGTAGAGTAGTGCAAGGATTGGCAAACTGTGTGCTTTGGGTCCAGTTCAGCTTTTAACCTCTTTTTATTACTTAACTAGAAAATGTTTCGAATTTGTGTTCATATTGTCTGTGGCTGCTTTTGTGCTACTACAGCAGAGTTGAATAGTTGTAACAGAGACATTCTAATCTACAAAGCCTAAAATATTAACTGACTCTTCATATTGTTTGCCATACTCTGGTAATGGAAAGATCCTGGCTTTGTAACCATATGTATCCAGGACCAAAGCTTGGCTTTTCTTTTTACATGTAAACCTTTGGCACATTGTTTAACCACTCTTGAGTTGTAATTTCACTTGAAAAATGTGAGTAATAATGAGATTAAATAAAATACACGTTAAATAACATTTTAATAACATAATAATACAATCTTGGCCTGATGTGTAGCCACTGGGTCTGGGATTTAAAGTGCAGTCAGTCATGTGGGAGTCTAGCACCTTAACCCCCATGCCCACCTGTTAGCCCCAATTGATGCTTTATTTTATAGATCATTTTTCTGGTGAAATTCTCCATTGTGTCATCTGTTTTCCTGTAATTTTTTTTGAAGTTATTTTAATGCCTATGTCTGGTAACTTTAATCTTGAAATCTTCTTGTGAATCTGTTTCTATAGACTTTTTTCCCTCTAAGTTTCCAGATATTTCATACTGTCTTCTGGCAACCCTGACAAGTTTTTAAGTTTTTATTGGATACTAGGTCTTTTGTGTGACAAATTATAGAAGATCTAGTTGATGAGTGCTTTATCTCCAGATATAATTTCTTTTTCTTGTTTTTTTTTTTTTTTCTTTTTTGGGGGGGCAGGAAAAAAGCGAAGGCTTATCATGATCCAATCAGGGGTATGTATAACAATCACTTCTAATGCTAAATAATAGAACATTGGCCTTAATACAGCATTTTTGGAAGATAACAGTTATTGAACTTATTGATATTTTAAAAAGATTTTATGATTTCTCTGATGCTTTTGTGGAGGACTAATTTCAGTTTGCCTTTATTCTTATGGTATAGTCCTTCAGAAGTCTGAACTAAAACACTGAGTGGTGCTGTTGTGATTGTGCCCTTCAGTTGTTTCCTGGTCCTGTGAGATTGCAGGGTTCCAGAAGGCCTGAGTATCAGTTCTGCTTAGGCTTTCATTCAGTACTGCTTATGAACTGGCAAGAACCTTAAGGTAAAAAGCAGTACAGATTGTAGGACTCACCTTAATGTATGTCTGCTCTCCCTGGGATCTTGGCCTTTTAAGTTCTGGCCAGCTTGGCTACTTTCCAGGAGATTCAGACCACCATTTACTTGTTAATTAATTGGGTTTTATCTGACTTTTAATAATGTTCATTGTGGGAGGGTTGGTCTTGTACAAACTGTTTTCTTGTAAGTATCCGTGGCAATAGCATTCTCTTTCAAAATTTCTTCCCGGATGATTCTAATCACTGTTGCCTAATTGCACGACTCCAGGAGGCAACATTCACATCATGTCCATGTAGATGGTACCCCGTGGAGTTGTGCAGTGCCAGACTTCTGTGGCGGTAGAGTAGAGAACTGACTGTGATAGACTTCGGAAGTGAGGTGGAGCTCAACCAATGGAGACTTGAAGGATGTCATTGGTAGACAGTGAAACGCTAAAAAAAAAGGCTTGAGTGGTAATTGGAAAAATTGTTTTTAGTCACATCTGTTGTAAAATACCATCTACATGGCAGATAGGTCCTACTTTATAGGACATTCATTCTACTCATTGAGGCTTATGTCTAAAGTTGGACTTGTGTTCATAGAAATGTATATATCAGATGTGCTTGCTATGAAAATATTTAGATTAATTAAGATCTTTAGTGACTCAATAAAATGTGGGGGAAAACAGTATAGAAAGCAAGCATAGATACCAGAGACAGTATGGGAGGAGAGTGGGAGATGGCAGAGGGTAAGAGATAGGGAATCAAGAATCAAGGACGAGGAAAAAAAATAAATGCAAAACATATAGGAAACAAGAAATAGAAAAATTATTTGTTGATGATAATATGTATGCTGAAGTGCTTGATTGAGCCAATATGCAGTGTACTCTGGATGGAAAATCTCATTTTGTATGTTGTAATGATATACAGTGAATGAATGTAAATAAATTTAATTTTTTTTTTTTTTTGGAGAGGTTTTTGCTATAGGGCACGTGCGCTCGCCAGACAGACAGAGAGAGACAGAGAGACAGAAAGCGAGAAATCACCCCCCAGGGGGGATGGCCACGCCGCAATCCCTTCTCCTCCATTCTCCTCTTGGGATCTTGGGCATGCACGCACACGCGCCTGGCGTGAGATTTAAGCCACCAGGTCCGGGACGCGAGCCGCGGTTGACTACGTGGGAGTCCAGCGACATAGCCATTACGCTAACTGCTGGTTCCCAATAAATTTAAATTTTTAAAAAAAGGTAAGTAATATAACTTTTTTTAAAAAAAAAATTGCCAGGGGGCATGTGTGCTCATTCAAGAGATAGGGGCAGACAAATGGGTGTGGAAAGTGAGAGAGCATCCCTGATGGAGCGTGGTTATGCCATAAGCCCTCCTCCATTTCCCTGTCCTTTTGAGATTCGGGCGTGCATGCACTTGTGCCTGGAGTGTTTCTCAAGTTGTCAGAACTGTGCAATTGGACATGTGGGATCCAACTACCTTAACTGCCACACCATGGGTTGCCCAAACATTGTTTTTACAATAGTCATTCTTTTAAAGATTATACATGTTTTTTGAATAAAGATAGAACATTATTTTCATTAACTTTAGTATGGTAGTGGTAGTCACCACGACTACCATTAGCACTGTAAAAAAAAGTTAAAAATTTTTTTTGCAAGAAGGGTGTGCCCTCACCAGAAAGGTACAGAGAGACAGAGGGGTTTAAGCAGGAACGCACCCCTTA